TGTTTGAGAGAGAGAGTTGAGAGGTTGCTAGTGTTCGCCTATCTCCTTCTTTGTATTGGCTAATTTACCACCGGAGGGTGAAGAGTTTGAAGGGTAGAATCTACAATAATCCAATATAACCCAGAAATTGTATTTGTTGCGTGGGAACAATAATGGATTTCTCCCAATTGGTCAGGAAGCCTAGGTTCTCTAACAGAGTCAAAGTCCATGCAAGGTATGTCTGGATTAATTGAATAGACTGAGCCAGAATGAAAATGCCATCTAAATATATTATAAGATGTGAGCTTGGTGAAGCACCATGGAGCCGAAGACAGTCCGAATGGGAGGCACCTGAACCTCTATTTACTGCCCTACAATGTAAATTGCAGGAAGTTCTCGATCTTGATGTTGTACTGGGATAGGCACTGTGAGATATGCATCCTGCAGATCCAATTTGGCCATCCAATCTGCTGGTTGGAGAAGATCCCTTAAACAATGCTCTCCTTCCATCTTGGAAGTGCTGACATGCTCATAACTATTGAGCAGTCTCAAATTTATTACTGGACGGATACCTTTGCCTTTTTTGGGAAACAAGAAAAGGTTGCTCACGTAACCCAGGGTATGCGCCAGAATCTCTACAATTGATTGTCCACAGAGACAAGGTCTGTGTCTCATTGGGAAAAAACTATTTCCCTTGATGGGGAACATTGAACAAGTAGAGAAAGGAAGTCTATGCAATACCCTTTCACAGTGTGAAGAACCTAAGCATCTGATGAAATGAGGGATCATACATGGGAAAAATGTGTGAGCCTGCCCCTCACTATCAGTAAGAAAGAATGGAAATTGTGAAGACGTCTTAGGAGCACCTCTTAGGCCACTAACAATCCAGGGTCGGCCACTTTGTGAGAAGGAGGTTGGTATAGTACATTGTTCAAAGAAATCGGCTCGGCAAGTATAAGAGCCTTGGTTCTGTCTAAAAGAACTTCTGTTTGTTTAGCAGGACAAAGGAGCCCAATTCTTTTACAAAGTTGTCCCCAAAGAGAAAACCTTTTGCCTGTGTTATCTGGCTCGTTTGGGCTCAATCTTGAGCAAGATCGATTTGTGGCGTTCTGTGACAACCGCATTGTTGGCGTTGCCAACTTAAATCACTCTCTGGATCTAACCACTTAAGATGGCACAATCTAATTCTAGATCATCCTCCACTGCTTCAAAGATCTTGGCTGCTGAGCCCAAGATGCCCAGGATTTTATCCTGACAGTTTTGCAATGAAAATCTAAGCCTTTAGATGGCTTCCATCCTGTCTTACTCAGGAATTGAATGCTTTTAGGATTGACTGATAGCGTTTAACATGAGTCATCAGGGACTGTTCGGCGTGGCCATTCAGCCCGCAATTTATTTCACTTTGCCTTCTCAAAAGGCTTGCGTACTCTGGATGCCAATATACTTGGCTACATGGTCTGAGGAGACCACTGGGTGACATAGGTCGTCAGGTTCAAATAGGGGTTCACATTGAGTGTCCAAGATCCTATCGGTGTCCCTGAGTCTGCATAATCTACCTAAATCTTGGTAGGTTTAACAGGACGTGTATCCCAAACGGGATTAGCATCCTCTTCATCAGTAATTTCATAATCAGGATCAGAAATATCCTCTGAATCCTTCATATAGGACCCAGGGAACTCCTCCTCAATATCACTGAGCTCAGATTCAGAGTTCAGTTGGGCTTTTGCCCTTTTCCAGTCTAGTCGATTTTGCCTGACTAGTAGCTCTTTTGCGCGGTGGTAAATTAATCGCGCCATCCGTGACAGGTATGGAACTGTCCATCTTTATTGTTTTGGAGGAGTGTTTAGCCTTATATGAGGCCTTGCGGCCAGGCTGAAGCAGAGCAGGTGTGAGTACAGATACACCTCCATATAGTACTCGGGGAACTCCTCCTCAATATCATATAGTACTCAGGGAACTCCTCCTCAATATCCCTGAGCTCAGATTTAGAGTTCAATTGGGCTTTTGCCCTTTTTCAAAGTCTAGTCGATTTTGCCCGACTAGTAGCTCTTTTGCGTGGTGGTAAATTAATCACGCCATCCGTGACAGGTTTGGTACTGTCCATCTCTATTGTTTTGGAGGAGTGTTTAGCCTTATATGAGGCCTTGCGGCCAGGCTGAAGCAGCGCAGGTGTGAGTACAGGTACACCTCCATATAGAACTCGGTGAACTTCTCCTCAATATCACTGAACTTGGATTCAGAGTTTAATTGGGCTTTTGCCCTTTTCCAAAGTCTAGTCGATTTTGCCCGACTAGTAGCTCTTTTGCGCGGTGGTAAATTAATCGCGCCATCCATGACAGGTATGGTACTGTCCATCTCTATTGTTTTGGAGGAGTGTTTAGCCTTATATGAGGCCTTGCGGCCTGACACCAGGGCCTTATCATTGCATTTGCCATGGAAGTGTCAATTAAAGCCTGCATGTCAGCAGGATCAGTAAAGCAGAAATTCAGCCTCATCTCCAGAGATACCTGGAGAGGCTTCTACATTAATCTGCATGTTTGCTGTAGACCCAGAAGGCACAGAAAGATCCTGTCAGACTGCATCATAAATATACAAACAAACCTAAGGGGCTGAATAAAAGCAAAATAATACCAAAAGTAAAGGGTTGAGTAACCCTCAAGTAAAAATAAATAACTAAACAGGATAAAGAAATGAAAGTACTCACAATAGTGAAAAAAAATAGCAATTGTAATATAAAGACAAAGGAGCTGCCCGGCTGCCACTACCACTAAACCCCAACTTGGATTTCTGGAAGTTGGTGGCAGAGCAGCAGCCAGACAGATAAATTAAGGGAAAAAACAGCACAATGGCACTATTCAGGATATAAAGATCCTCAAAGACGCCCCTGAGCCCCAATTGATGGTATTCTTGGGGCCAGGGAGGTCAGAGGGGAAATACATTATGAAAGGATATATAATAAGGCATATAACAGACGCAAATGAAATAAATAAATCAAATTACGTTAAAATGAAGTAACTAAATATATGTATACACATGAAAATATTATAATTAAAATGTAATAACTATATTAAGCACAGTAATGATATGAATAAAGTAAAGTAAAAGATCCCACAGTTAAGAACCATGGGACCCAGTGTCACTTAACTGAGGTAGCAGCAAAGAAAGAGGAAGTAGTATACTGGACACTGCCTATTATGCTATAAAGAGGATGCTGATTGGCTGTTGCTGTTGCTAGGAAGATATACCTCATATTATTTACTGGTTTCTTTTATACTGATTTAATGTTATTTTTCTTTGCTGCTGAGGTAAATAAAGAAAGAGTGCAGCATAATAGGAGCCTCCGTGTCTTAATAAAATCCGGTCTTTTTTAATTGTGTTGGAGGATGGTGTTACTACACACAAATGTAGTTGTCAATGTCATCTACATTTTCAGTGACTGGAGAGATTTTGCAAGAACTGTCTCACAAGCAGTTTTCGTCGAGCTTTTTTTGGCTTTGGTAAATAACTTGTCTTTGGGATTAAATATGACCATGGATTCGTTGACTTTTATAATAATGTATGCTACCATAAAAGATGGGTATTTTAGAATAATGTATGCTACCATAAAAGATGGGTATTTTAGAATAATGTACGCTACCATAAAAGATGGGTATTTTAGAATAATGTACGCTACCATAAAAGATGGGTATTTTAGAATTATAAACTACCATAAAAGATGGGTATTTTATAATAATGTATGCTACCATAAAAGATATTTACAGTAATGGACATTGTGAAGAATTGATGAGAGAATTGCAAATTTTAAGGCAGAGCAGTGAAACGGATAACATTCTCAAGATCAATTTTTGGCCTTAAAGGGACACTGTAGGCACCCAGACCAATTCAGCTCATTGAAGTAGTCTGGGTGCTGTGTCCCTTTTGCACTTAGTCCTGTAATGTAAAACATTGCAGTTCCACTGCACAGCCACTGGGGGCGCTTCCGGAATACAAACCAACCTTTGGTCGGTTATCTGACGCTGGACATCCTTACGGACCTCCAGTGTCAGATTTTCCGCGCATTAGGTCTCCCCCGCTGTGTGACATCGGCAGGGGAGGAGTGTGAGCGGAACCTGACCCAGCGCCGAGGGACATTGACACTGGAGTCAGGTAAGTGGTTAACCCCCTTCAGCCCCGAGGGAGTGGGGGACCTAATAACCCTATAGTGCCTGGAAAACAGGTTTGTTTTCCTGGCACTAAAGGATCCCTTTAAATATGCATTTCCTTTTCCATCACAATTCCTTATTTAGTCAATAAATCTGACAAATATATATACACAGGTCATGGATGAGTGAGCACTAAAGCACACATTAAAAGATTTCAAATATTGTAAAGCGCTACGGAATCTGTTGGCGCTATATAAATGATAATAATAATAATAATAAATGAGTCTTAATGCAACAGTTTTAATAAGTTATCCTATCTTACAGACATTTAGTAAATGGCAAAAGGCAGACTTGGCTTTACTGAATATGCACCTGGCTAGGAAGAACAAGGATATTAAGTAAATGAACACAGTGACTATCCTGCCTGCTTCCTATCTGGTTTAAAGTTTCAGACAAGTCTTACCTTGTCTGATAAAAAAGATGCCATAATTTACTTTCAAACAATGTATTTGCACGTCTTTACCAATCCTGCGCTGTAAACATGCCACTTTTTTGAACACCTACTTAAAAGCAGGTAAGTCCCCCCATCGCGATCACTGGCAGGGGATCGCTAGCAAACAGGTAAGTCGCCTGGACAAGGGGGACGTACTATGCCGTCCGCCGGCGTTTAGAGTCGGGTCCCCAAGGATGGCATAGCACGCCTGCTGTCCTTAAGGGGTTAAAGGGAAACTATAGTGCCAGGAAAACAAAGTTGTATAGCTCCCTATAGGGCTCCCCTCTGTCGGTTAACCCCTAAATCCTAGGGGTGCATTGAGGACTTGGTTTGGAAACCACTGATATAATCAATGTTATTCATATCACCTGTCAGTGGTTTTAATGTTGAGGCTGATCGGTGTATTAGTACAGTGCTATCATACCAATTCTGCGACACCTTTTTTTATAAAGAAAACAAATGCAGTTTTTCTAGAATTTCTTCATAACGAAAGTTTTCCATCTCTTATTAATTTTATTAAAGGGACACCGTAGGCACTGTATCTGCTTCATCTCATTAAACTGGTTATAGCGTCTGGAGTCCTCTGGTCCCATCATTTCTATCAGCATTAAACAATTTTTAAAGTTTTAATGTTTTAATGCTAAACAAGAGTCCCCGGCAATCCATCCCCTCTGTGCTGCTTTGGCTAATAAGGAAGTATTAGCCTGAGCAGCAATGGGTAGCTGTGATTGGCTGAGAGTGTCAGCTGACTGCTTTTAGCCTGTCAGAGATCCAACTTACAGTATGAATGGGTATGACAACAAGAAAGTGTGTAATCTCTTCCTTAGCTACACATACTGAAGGGGCCGGACTGTGGGTGGCCAGGGACTCTTATTTTGTGGCATACTGCACGAACATGGTTCAACACTGAATGGAGGGGTAATGCCAGGGCACTCCAGGCACTATAACCAATTCAAAGAGATGAAATGCTTATAGTGACTACAGTGTCCCTTTAAATCTATCTGTAAACAAGTGATATCATGTTCAGACTGTATTATCTCACCTAGGTTTGTGTAATCTGTAAACACCAGCTACTTTCAATGCTCACTTTACAGTCTTTTAAAAAACATATTTAAAAGAAGTGGACCCAGGGACAGTTTGTACATTTTTAGTTTACAACTACTTTCTGCATTCGATCTTTAAGCCAGTGTGCTATCCAAGAACACAATTTTTCATCTAAACCACCTGATTTCAGTTTTAATAATAAGCTTTTGTTTGCAACTGTATCTCAAATGCCTTAGCAAAATCCAAGTAGTTCATATCCGTGACTGTTTTGTTGTAGATGAGACAGAAATTCACCTAAGGAAATCCAGAATTAACCCCTTAACGCCGTTACGGCGTTCTATGCTGTCCCTATTTAAAACTGTCTTTAAAGCCGTTGCAGCGGCATAGAACGCCGTAACGGCTGAAGCGCCCGGTATACTCACCTGCCCAGGCAGCCCTCCCACGGCAAAAGAAGCCCCCGGAGCCAGGTGATCGCTCTCAAAGAGCGATCACATGGCCCCATATAGCTGGCTGTGGATCTGCCAGCAGGGGGACTATCTGAAATGTCAGACAGTCCCCCTGCTGGTGGGAGCTGTAAAATATATGTGTGTGTTTGTAACATCATACATAGTGTATTTTAATGTTAATATAAGTACATATATTAGTATTAAAATACACTTAGAATGACATTACATATATATATAATATGAATATAATATAATATATATATATATATACACAAACACACACACCCGTATAATTACAATAATACATAAAATAAAATAAATAAAATAATGAAACAAAATTTTATATAAATTATATATTCATATGTAATTTCATTCTAACTGTATTTTGTTATTAATATATATATATATATTGGTAACAAAATACACTTAGAATGACATATATATATATATATATATATATATATATATAAAAAAATACAAATAACCGCAAAATATAAAAAAAAAAAAATTATATATATATTCATATATACACACACACACACACACACATATACATACACATACACATACATATACATACACACACACACACACTTTTACTTAAAATATCATCGTTGTAATACAATTTACCAGTTTGAAACACTAATATTTGAGTTCAGCGAAGTCTCCTGAGTAAAACAGTACCCCCCATGTACAGGTTTTATGAAAGTTTGTGACTAAGTGGCTACTAAAAAAGACTAAACATACCCCACTTTCAATACATTGGGTTGTCTACTTTTTCAAATAGTAAGCCATTATGGGGGTAATTCTCATTCCTGGGCTACCACACCGTCTCAAAGGTAACATTACTAATCTGGCAAATTTCAATTTGAAAATGGAACGTTCTATATTTGACCCTGTAACTTTCCAAAACACCATAAAACCTGTTAATGGGGGGTACTGTTGTACTGTGAGACATGCTGATTACAAATATGTGCATTTTTTTGCAGTAAAACCTAACAGTATTATGACATTCACAGCTAAAATGTCAGACGGAAACAAATTTTTTTTTTTTTTTTTTTTAAATCTTATTTTCTCACATTTTATTCATAAATTATGTTCCATATATGAATAGTTAATGATAAATTAAAGCCCTGTTTCTCCTGAACAAAATGATATATAATAAGTGTGGGTGCACTTAATGTGACAGCGGTGAATTACAGTTGAACAGACATATAGCACAAATTGCAGTTTTTGTTTACGTTTTGTTTTGATCAGAACATGCACTATTGACTCCGTCCTGAAGGGGTTAAAGAAACACTATAGGGTCAGGAACACAAACATGTATATCTGTCCCTAGTGTTAAAACCACCATCAAGCCACCGCCCCCTTGCCTCTCTAATTATAGTAAAACTTGTATTTAAGTCTGCAGCTGCTGCCTCTGCCCCTGATCTGCCTGCTTGGCTGACATAATCAGAAATGAGTATGTAAGTCAATCACAATGCTTTCCCATAGGATTGGCAGAGACTGTCAGGAGGCAGATCAGGGGCAGAGCCAACACAAGTCAAACACAGCCGTGGTCAGAGATGCATTGAAACAATGCATCTCTATGAGGAAAGTTCAGTGTTTCCATGCAGAAGGTGGAGACACTGAATGGCAGTACTGCTCACTGTGCAGCACTGCCCCAGGAAGCACCTCTAGCAGCCATCTGAGGAGTTGCCAGTTTAGGTGTCACTAAGCTGTAATGTAAACACTGCATTTTCTCTGAAAAGACTGTTTACTGCAAAAAGCCTGACGGGAATGATTCTACTGACCAGGACAAATAGAATACGCTGTAGTTGTTTTGGTGACTATAGTATCGCTTTTAATATACTGGGCTGCGTGTTTGACAAACCCATTGAACTGTTTTATAGCAGCACCAGATCCTTTGCCATTATAACGAACTCTCAGAAATACAACATCCATGATCATAAAGAAACGTTTGATGTATATTCTTGTACAGAGTATTCCATGTGAAAATGCTTTATTTTGCAGTCTGTCACATCCATTCATTAAAGATAGGAAGGAAGACACATGCACTAAACCAGGGGTGCTGTTTAATGTTATTTTTATACAGAAAAATGAAATGACACTGGCAGAAAGCTGTTTGTGGTAGGACATTACAAGCTTCACAATAATTACTGCTTTCCAATCATAGACTATGCTAGTCAGTTGTAAATCCGTACAAAAAATAATAAAAGACAGAATAAACAAGAGAAATACAGAGGAACTCTAAAATTTGGAAATTTAAATATATGGAAAAAAAAAATGTATATGCTTTCTACCACTTTATCATAGAAATGCTATTTTAAAGCCCAATGCTGGAATTTAAGCAGAGAAATTATTGCTACGGACATCTCTTTTGGCAACTACTCCACAGCAGCACAGAACTTTACGATAAAAAGACCATCCAGAACAAACCAATATACAACAGAACAACTGATCAAATTCAGAACGCTTCCCAACTGAGCAGCAGACAGTAAATACATCTTAGCAGTGAGGTATTATGAAGGGGGGAAACCCCAAAATGTAATGATGTCAGTTACACAGAAAGTCTTTTTTAATTGCATCAATAACACAGAATACTCTATTAGGGACTGGAACACCAAATTCCAGTAACATTGATATTCAAATACAGAAAAGAAAATAAACCATCATAAAAACATATTTAAAGGGACACTTCGATGTCCAAAAAAAAAAACAAAACAAAAAAAAAAAACTATCTAGTAGATATTTTACCAATAAAAACATGTATGCATTTATTATGCATGTTTTCATTGGGATATGGCTATAAACAGCTTGCGGTTTTCTAATGCCTTCGCAAGCCTTCCCCTTCTAACCTAGCCCAGACTTTCAGTGGCTGTCCAATCACAGATTTCCCAGTGGACCTCAATGAAAAGCCTTTGCAAGGCAGGTGCTCTGTGGCCTTGACCAGGCAAAAGGTAAGGAGGATATAAAGCAGTTTGTAAATAAAAAAATAAATAATACATATAAATATTGACATCTGCCTCCCTCTAACACACAATCCCTCCAAACATATTCACACACACACACACACAGCACCCTCACAGCACCACACACACACACACAGCACCTCTCACGCACACATGCTGCACCCCTCGCACATCTCACTCATACAACACCTTCACAAACACACTGCACCCCTCCCTCACACACTACCTTTGCACCCTTCATACATACATGCAGCAACCCCCAACACACTACACCACACACACACAATACTTTCAAACATTTATGTATATATACTACAGAACCCCTCACATACTCACTGCGCCCTCACTTACACACACTGCAACCTTAAACACATTACATCCCAGACACACACACACTAGCTCCCTATATACACTCTGAATCCTCTACACACACTCACTAGATCTCCTATACACACTCTGGGTTCTTTAAACACACACTAGATCCTCTACACATACACTGCACCACCTACACACACTACATTCCTGACATACACACTCTGGATTCCCTATGCACACACTAGATTCCTTGTAAGCAAATACATACTACATTCCCTAAACACAAACTACAGCCCCTATATACACTATGCCCCCTATACACACACTCTCTACAGCACATTGACACATATACATTACATCACAACATGACAGAAACCAACCTATTTACACAATACTACAGCACAATCAGCTCACTCTATAGACACGCAATACTACCAGCAGGCTCCAAACACATGCACAATACTCTTTCCTGGCATTTTTGTCTCCTGGTATCCCATTATTGGAGACACCAGAGACAAGTTTCAAGCAAACACAGATCACACGTTATTAAGTTTGCTTGCGCCATGCAGAACAAATACATGGCCTTTTTCTCGTGCTAGAGCTCTTCAGCAGAGCTCTGCGCATGGTCTGCCCTAGAAGAGCATTGAACCAACATGCTAATTTTGAGATGGTACGTGCTTGTCATTGGTGATGACAAAGCACACCCTATCTAGCCCTGCCCCGCTCTCAGTGGGCCGCCGTGATTAAAAAATTCCCGGGCCGAATTTTTTTCCCCAGTCGGGCTATGCTCTGTGCAATTGCCTGCTTCCTGAGTTTATCTCCACTGAGCTAAATAACCAGGAAGTAAAAGGACCGGTTGTATGATTGACAGCCTGTGGGGTATAACAAGGTTAATTTAAAAAAGTGCCAACTTCAACTGAAATCTGCACTTTAAAAGTGATTTAGGTGTTTGAAGTGTTCATTTAATAAATTTGGAGGTTGCCTCTTTTATGTTCACCTCCACAGAACAAAAATGTCACACCAATACACTACTTATAAGTAAACAATCAGTGGTAACCATGTACCTGAAAGCAGCAAAACTAGTTCAAATATATACAGTAGATTTGAGTTTTTGAATATAATTATACAGAGATGCAAAACTATTGCCAAAACCGGGAAAGTCCTGAGGATTTTTAAATCTGAGGGAATGCATGCTAAAACATAGTTTAATTATTCACAAACAGGTTTTCTTTTCTTATAATGAAGCTTCCAACTAACCAACCGTTTGGGTACATACCTGCGTAGAAACACTGTACATTGCCACAATAACCATATACAGTACTTGAACTTAATTTGTGACAAAAAAGTTATATGTTACGCCAACAGCCATATAGTAAAATGTATATATAGGTATGATTGACCACTCGACTCACTAGGAATTGTGGAGAATTTACAAAGGAATGACGCATTTATAGCCAAACTGAGAAGGAAAAAAGCTGAGTAAATCTGCTACTTTTCCAACTCAACTATTTAGCCTAAAAATGTCCAACTGCTGTGTCAGTTTTCCAGAACTCCTACTTTAAAAAATAAATCTCAATATGTCTAACTAAGCAATGACTGAGTCAAAGACCTAATCATTTACCACGTTCTACTAGTGTTTCTGTAACAAGCCAGCCATCTGGTATAGATATATACGTTCAGTGTACATTTCTGTAAATGTTTTTAAGAACATGTGGAAATGACAGGGGCTGTAGCTAGCGAACTACTGTCTGGAGTAAGAAGAATAAACATCCTGTTAACTTGTTCAGCAGGTCATGTTCAAGGAGAAAACTCTCTCGCTCCCCTCCCCCCCGCCCCAACACCACCTTTTACTTAAAGGACCACTAAAGGCACCCAGACCGCTTCATCTCAACTGAGTGGTCTGGGTCCAATGTTCCTGTTGTTTTACATTTTCAATGTAAAACACTGCCATTTGGTAGAAATGGCAGTGTTTATATAGAAGGGTTAACTACACCTCTAGTGGCTGTCTTCCTGACAGCCTCCAGTGCAGGGGTGCCCAAAAGGTATATCCCCTTATGCTGTAGAACCACAACTCCCATGGTGCTTTGACTTTAGAATGACAAAGCAGCACATAAACTGTAGTAAAACATCTGGGGATATACCTTTTGGGCACCCCTGCATTAGAGGCACTTCCGCATGGTGTTTTGCCGCGCAGGCATAACTTGTCCACAATGCTTCTCAATCAGAAGCGCTGGAATGGACGAGAACGCGGAAGAATCAGCAGGCATGTTGACAAAGATGAAAGCAGAGCGGGCAGCAGCAGCGGAAGTGTTTCGGCACTGGAAATTAGGTATATAATCTTTATTAAACAAAAAACTTTTAAAACACTAAAAGCAGGGGGTGTGGACAGAGGTCACTACAACCAACCAGGCCCTACCAAAAATTACATATGCATTGCGTGTGTTGCTCATTATACACCAATGGGGCCTATACATGAAACATCTATTTCAAAGAACTGAGATCTAAATGGCAATTTTTCAAAAATAGCTATTTTAGCCTCAACTTTACCATTTGGATTTCAATGCTCCACAATCTGTTCTTTACAAATATACCCCTACATAACCAAAAACATAAGCTACATCTTATAAAAAGAGGTGTTTAAAAATTGAGAAAAGTTTACCGAATAATGAGCGGTTAATGGAAGACATTTTCTATCACAGCAGTGATAATTTTTTGGTCAAACCTTTCTATGGAAAGGATGGTCAACAAGGGTAATTTTTGCTTACCTTTACCCCCTCGCTGTGCTGGTCTTGCCGCAGCCTTCCTGGCTGAGATCATCAAGATTGATGATCTCGGCCAATCCAATGCTTCCCCATAGGAAGCACTAAGAGGATAGTATGAATGGGTGCCTTTAGTGATTCTTTAAATTGCAAGTATTGGTCAACATTCTAAAAGTCGAGCAGTCACCATGGAATCTTGAAGAATGTTGTACTTTTAGAATTTTGCAGCAGAATAGGTTAATATTTATTTTAAAATAACACCAAAAGGAGTATAACTAGTTAACTAGTACAATTTTAGCATGAGTGATATAATCCAGCTCCTCGGGCATGCACTCTAAAAGATTACTCACTTCTAATTCGGTTTAATATTATGTGCACTAGATGAAAACGTCATTGATAAACAACTCCCATAACTCTGAAGGATAATCAATAAACTATCAGGGTTAAAATAGCCAGCCTGGAACAATTATCTAAGTCTTACCTTAGTGAATAGCCGTCAGAAAATCAAAAATGCAAATTCTCCATCAGAAAAAATAAAAATAAAAATCAGGTATAAGGATATTTTAGCATTTCACATTTATTATAAAATTCACTGTTTAGTAAATAACGTAAAAATTTTGCTTTTGGATTTACAGTTCAACAGCTCTTAGTGAACACCGGATTGTAGTGGATTAAAAAGTGCATTGCAAAATGTGAGAAAATAATGGCAGACTTACAAGATAGCATCCAACTCAACTTGTCTAAATGTTGTCATTCAGGATTTAATTCGCTACACAAAGTAAATAAACCCCAGTCTGGCGGTAGCTATAGACAGGTCTGTTACCCTTCTTGTGAGCACTATCAGAGGGTTCAGCTGTATGGTCAGTGAATCTCACCGTCCGCATTCAACACTCGTCCATTGTAAAGAGAAAGAAAGGGGAAAAAAATTAAAAACTTTTCCATCGCCCTTTAGTAAATCGCCTGCATTCGCTCCCAGGACATTCCAAACCAAACAGAGTACAGTAATAGCACGTCCATCCGGAGATAACACAGAGCGGAAAGTCCCAGCCTGGGATCTGGTGATGGATGGATGGAGGCTGTCCTGGGACAGAGGCACACTTACCGGCAGCACTCATGGTCTCCCATGAAGATATCCAGGCTCACTCCATGTCACCCCAGCCGGCCACTTCCAGGCTGCTCCCCCCGGTGCAGGAGACACAATTACCCCTCTGGCTGCTCCCCCCTATGCAGGAGACACAGTTACCCCTCTGCTCCCCCCGGGGCTGGAGACACAGTTACCCCCCCTTGCTGCTCCCCCTGGTGCAGGAGACACAGTTACCCCCCTTGCTGCTCCCCCTGGTGCAGGAGACACAGTTACCCCCCCTTGCTGCTCCCCCTGGTGCAGGAGACACAGTTACCCTCCTTGCTGCTCCCCCTGGTGCGGGACACACAGTTACCCCCCTTGCTGCTCCCCCTGGTGCAGGACACACAGTTACCCTCCTTGCTGCTCCCCCTGGTGCAGGAGACACAGTTACCCTCCTTGCTGCTACCCCTGGTGCAGGATACACAATTACCCCCTTTGCTGCTCCCCCTGGTGCAGGAGACACAGTTACTCCCCCTGTCTGCTCCCCCCGGCGTAGGACACACAATTCCCCTCCGATCTGTTCCCCCGGTTGCTGGAGACTCAGTTACCCTCCTCCACTCCGCCCTGTGTGCTGACTGGGGGGCCGCCTGCTGGAGACCAAGGAGGAGGCTTTCCCAGTATGGTGATAATGTTGGGAGGGAGGGGAGAGCCAGCACAGCCGTGACGTCACACCTAAACAAAAGGACTGGGATAACATGTGTCCTGATAATCTGTCACTGTGTGAGTGTATGACAAAGCCAGGGCAGGACATTCACTGAATGGCAAGTCTGTACTGAGCAAAGCAAAGCGGTACTAAGACATGGAACCCAATAAAATGTCTCACTCTGTAACACTTTGTCCAGAGCACCACACTATTGCCCAGCAGGTCCAGGACATGCCATGTCTGGCCACTAACCCTTGTTTAACCCTTTCAAGTACATGGTAGTTTTAACTGTCATGCCTGTTAGAGGCCAGGACAGGAAGGTTTACTTTAACAAGTCTTTTTTAGAAGACGTTTTATACTATACATATCTTCACTCCTCTCTCTCGAATCCATATCGCATAACGCATATCTTTAACTTCTTTCATAACTCTAGCATTGTCCTTGCTGCCCTTAAATATGCTACGGTCGTATCCATCGTATCAATCCATCGTATCCATCGTATCAATCATAAAAAAAGCTATCTCTTGAACCCATGGCATTGTGCTGTCTGGGTCCAAGGCTCAAAAGTGTGCCCCCCACTCCCACCCCTACAGCCATGCATGCACACACAAGAACATCGACGCAGTCACACATGTATACAGACAGACATTCACACACACATACTGACTAACACACAGACACACTCATATATACACACCCACTCACAAATACACTCACTCACAGACACGCACAGACAGAAATACACTCACTCACAGACAGGCCCAGTGTAAGACCTTTCTGCCACCGAAGGCTAAGGTATATTTTGTCACCCCTTGCTTCGCCATTCTCTGCTTGTATTATATTTACCAATACATTTCCACCTGCTTTCATTTACCTTGGTTCACTCCACCTCCTTTGTTCATCTACACACCATTTTCTCTGCACCTTTCCACTCTTACTGCCCCATTCCACAGCACCATATTGCACCCACAGCATTTCCCACAACACTGGATATTGCACCCCATACACTGGACTGTATCCCACTACCATGTCTCTCTCCCCCTTTTCTTCCATGTCTCTCTCTCCCCACCTTCATCCATATCTCTCTTCCCCTTCCTTCCATGTCTCTCTCTCCCCACCTTCATCCATGTCTTTACCCCCTTCCTTCCATGTCTCTCTTCCCCTCTTCCATCCATGTTTCTCTTTCCCCCTTCCATCTATGTCTCTCTTCCCCTTCCATGTCTCTAACCCCTTCCTTCCATGTCTTTCTTCCAGCCTTCCTTCCGTGTCACTCTTCCCCCCCTTACATGTCTCTCTTCCACCCTTCCATGTCTAGCTCCCCCTGCCATCCATATCTCTCTTGTTCCTTCCATGTTTTTCTTCTTACTTCCATATTTCTCCCTTCCTCCTTCCATGTGTCCATCCCCTTACATCCATGCCCCTCCCCTTCCCAAGCGCAATTTTTCCTTAGGCAAAGGTAGCATCGGCTTTGCTCTGTCCCTCTACATGCTGTTATACCTGTCATGGCAGGGGGGCTCTCAATGTCTAGCGTGCTTCCTCTAGTTTCAGACTGAGTGCCACGTAGTCAAATTACACCCAGCACTCCTACGCAGAGTGCAAGGCACTCCCCTGCTAATTTAGTGTGAGTGCAGTACCCTCATGGAGCCGCACGCTACCTGTACAAAAAAAAAAAAACAAGTCCAGTCGTAACAAGGGCAAGGGCCCCCTTAAAGTGCCGTCTGGGGACCATGACCAAGCCAGACCCATTGTAGGGCCGGCTCTGCTTGACCCGTCTTCTCCTTCTAATTACTGTCCTATATATCTGCTCCCTTTCTCATCAAAGCTTCTTAAACATCTTGTCTTTACCCATCTGGCATGTGTTCTCAATTCCTGCTCTCTCCTCGACCGTCTTCAATCTGACTTCCACCCCTCCATTCTACTGAGACAACTCTGATTAAAGTAGCTAATGATCTAATCCAAAGGCCGCCATACTAATTCTTCTAGACCTTTGCTGCCTTTAACACTGTTGATCATGTCTTCCTTCTTCAAACTCTTCAATCCCTTTGCTTCTGTAACACTGTCTTCAGGGATCGAGTCCTGGGTAAAAAAGTGTGGGAATTCACCCAAGATCCACCCCACCCACCACAAAAAAAATAATTATACGCTCGTATGCAGGGACTGAGTAAGGGCACGGGGCTGAGTAGAGGTACAGGGGCTGAGTAGAGGGACAGGAGCTGAGTAAGGTGGACAGGGGCTGAGTAAGGTGACAGGGCTGAGGAAGAGGGTAGGGACTGACTAAGGGGACAGGGACTGAGGAAAGGGACAGGGACTGAGTAAGGGGACGGGGACTGAGGATGGGGGACAGGGAGTGAGGATGGGGGACAGGGCCTGAGTAAGGAGACAGGGACTGAGTAAGGGGACAGGGCATGAGGAGGGGGACAGGGACAGAGGAGGGGGAAAGGACCTGAGGAGGGGGACAGGGGCTGAGTAAGGGGACAGGGACAGTGGCTGAGGAGGGGCAGGGGCTGAGAGGGACAGGCCTGAGGAGGGGGATGGGGACTGAGGTGGGGGACAGGGGCTGAGTAAGGGACAGGGCCTGAGGAGGGAGAGGGCTGAGTAAGGGGACAGGGACTGAGGAAGGGACAGGGCCTGAGGGGCAGGGGCTGGGGAAGGGGACAGGGCCTGCAGGAGAGGGACAGGGCCTGAGGAGGGGACAGGGGCTGAGGAAGGGGGACAGGGCCTGAGGAGGGGGGCGGGGACGGGGACTGAGGTGGGGGACAGGGGCTGAGTAAGGGGACAGGGCCTGAGGAGGGGGAGAGGGGCTGAGTAAGGGGACAGGGACTGAGGAGAGGACAGGGTCTGAGGAGGGGGGCAGGGGCTGAGGAAGGGGGACAGGGACTGAGAAAGGGGATAAAAAAAAAAACTAACTAAAGTGCATTCCCTCCTCCCTGAGGCCTACCTTGGGTCAGGAGGAGTGGGACAGGATCTGGAGCCTGCAGTCGGTGGAGCCGGCCGGCCTCTACAGATGATGTCAGGAGGAGGGGGCGTGACTTCCACTGCTCTCCTCCTAGACTCCCCAGCGGCCCTGTGAGAAGAGCAGTGAAAGTCACGCCCCCTCCTCCTGACATCATCTGGAAAGGCCGGCTAACTCCACTGGCTGCAGGCTACCAGGAGAGAGGTGAGTTTAAAAATCCGAGTCCCCAGCCAGAGGCATGGGATTTGGATTTGTGCTCCCCCCCTGCTCTGGCGGCCGCTTGTGCCAGCCCTGGGTCCTGCAGGACTAGTAACGGGAACGGCGTTCCTGCTGTGGAAAAAGTGCAGGAACGCCGTTCCCACGCGTTCCTGCAGGACTCGAGCTCTGACTGTGTTCTTGTGGTTCTCATCCTATCTCTTCCAACGTACATTCAGTCTCTCCTTTTCTAATTACATCTCCACCCCTCGTCCTGTCTTGGTTGGAGTTCCCAAAGGTAATTGGTCTCCCCAGAAACCGTACTACCTCGCTACAGGAAACAGTACTACCTGTTGCTACTCTCACACCTCACACCTCACCCCTTTGTCAATCTTTACACTGGCTTCCTGAACCCTAAAGAAGTGAATTCAAAATTCTAACCCTTACTTATACAGCATTAAACAACTCTAGACCCTGTTACATTTCTTCACTAATTCATTGGTTCATTGGTACGCCCCTTCTCAGTCTCTTCCGATGACCTCCTCCTGTCCCCTGCTCGCACCCTTACTGTTAACTCACTTCTCATGGACGGCTCCTTTCATTTGGAACAGCTTGCCTACCCCATCAGACTCTCCCCTTCTTCATCTTCATGAATCAGTCCCTCAAAACCCATCTCTACAGAAAAACTTCTGGCCTCCCAGAGTAACTTCTATTTCACAAACCTGTCTCTTACCTTTACAGTTCTGCTACTTTTCCACCTTGTCGCTTGGTTGCTATCCCCCACTCTGCCCTTCCTGTTGTGTTTCTTATATCCCACCTCCTTTAGATTGTAAGCTCGTCCTCATTGACCTATCGTTCCTGTAACATTTTGTAATTGTCTCATTTATTGTCTCCCCCTTTATAATGTTATAAAACACTGTAGAATAAGTTGGCGCTATATAAATGCTATTAATAATAATGGAACACTTGAAGCACCATAATCACTATGGCTCGCTGCAGTGTTTATAGTCCCAGGAATGAGTGGCATTATCCCTTCTTAATCTGGCAAACCATTGTAGAGCGATTTTACACTTTTTTGGGGATCTGCTTGACACTGCTTCCAGACTACCCAAGCCTAGTGTAGGCGTTCATTCACTAGCTGGGTGTATCAGCTGAATTCTCTAAGACATGCAGGGTCATATACTAAAGTAAGAATTAAAGGGATTCTATAAAGCCAGAAAACAAAGCCGTTTTCCCGGCACTTATAGAATTCTACAGTGCCCCCCTCACTCGCACCCCCCTCCCGGCTAAAACCCCTTGTTACAAAAGACTGAAACTAACTATGTTACTGTTTGCTAACCGATG